ACTATTCAATACTTGTATTTAAAAACAGTGTATAACAAAATCTGAAATAGTTATTGAGTAGGGCACTTGATATAATATACAATACTTAATTTTCTCTATTCTTATACAGCTCTATCGATTTTAATGAGATCCGTTAAATAATATTACATTTTGATGAAGTTTTAAATATCAGCAAGTTCCCAACTTCACGCAGGTATCACTAAGCCAAGCAGAGTCCATGACACACTGATATTGTCATGAAGCCAGACTTATACATCGACCAACAATTTAACAGTAACCCAGATATTATCGAACATGGGCTTGAATATTCTCGAACTTTAAAACCGGATTCGGATAAATGACCTAGTGTTCACCAGAATTACCTAGAATTTATTTCTTCGCTTTATAAAGATCGTTTATTATAATAAAGTAAGTAGTTTTTTAGCAATAGTTTGTAGAATCTTAACATTTGTACAGTGTATAGACTGGCTTCATAGATATGAACCCTATAAACAAAAAAATTAGGTATTGTATATTGTTTGATTAGCAAACGAATTAAATATCTTGAATTTTCTCCATTTAAATTTATTTTTATATGGAATGCTTCTAGTTCAATACCGAATAGTGCCTCGTCACTTTAGTTCCTCTGTAATGATCAATCCATTGTACGTGATTGTTATATGTTTCTCGTTACAGCTATGTTTCTGAATGCATTGAAATAAATATTGCAGATTTCCCAAAAATAAAACAAACTGAAATTGTGGAACACGACGTTAGTTCTACACTTAGCTGCGACAAAATTTTAAGAGGCTAAAAACTGAAAAGCCTAGTATAAAATGGGAAACCTTTCTACACAAAATTACTACTAAGCTGTAACATAATCATAATTGTTCTGAGTTCATCCTCATATCGGGTTGTTTATCGATGCCTGTGCCATTTAAGCGGCACATGATAGGTTTAGTCTTAAGATAGTGAGCAACCGAAGTTTTGTATATATACATAAAACTTCATAATTTGTCGATTATACTAAATATTGTCGCTCTCCGTTTAGGTTATTATGTCTAAAATTAGGTATAATGTCTAAACATGTATAGGTTCGTTAGAAAAATTTGTGTATTCATTGTATAATGATACTACTGATTCAATCTTTTATATACAGAAATAGTATCACGATGTCATACCCTAATTAAAGATAGAGATGAAATATTGCAATGTTTAAGTCATCGAAGACTTTAATATCTCAAAAATAAGGGTACATTATACAAATATTTTTTAACAACCTATACATTTTTAGTTCGATGTCATTTTCAAAATCGTGTATTATTTTGGTTCCTTTAAAGATTGACAAACGTTTGGTATTTAATCACTTATTTACATATTCTACGGAATGTCTAGATATATACTTAATATATAATAATCGTAAATCAATCTTAAAAGATTTAGGGATTAATTGAATATAAATGCTAAAATGTATCACAGAGGTTGTATGATAAAACTATTTTACAAAAAAAGTTAGCGAGTAAAAATGGTTTGCTTTAAAAATATTTTAGAAATACGCTACTTCAGTCTTGAGGCGGCCTAAAGCATAGTTTGTTTATACTTGTGTATACTTTGAACTAATATCTTTGTGCTAGATTTATTCTGTGCAGTTTCATTGCAAAAAAGCGTAGTCATTTCAATGAGGAGAGAAAAAGAAGTTAACGTTAAGCAATAATATGTGAACTTAAGGTTAGGTGTTACTCATTCCAGTAATCTCTACTAGATGGTGTTGAAACACTAAAAACTAGAAAACAACAAGGAAAAAAAAGTACAATATGAAACGACAAATATACATTTGAGGAAAGTATAATTTTAATTTGAATGTAATGTCTTGGCTGTTGTTCTCTATAGAGTTATCTTGTATACGCCCCTTCTAACGACACTAGGGAGAAACATGCAGTAACTGACTAAAAGGCAGTTCTTACAGTTGAATTCGTGGCCTATACAGAAAATTGTAATATCGGTCGATAGTACTGCATTTTGGTTGTATTGATATGTTGGTAAAATCGTGCTTGGATATAATACAAATAGAAGTTGATACAAATAATCTTCAACAACAAACGCCAGGTAAAGATTTTTATTTACATAAATTTAAAAGCACTCCAAAATTTTTAAAAAACTATGGTATCTACTACAATAAAAAATTCTGGATATACACTCACCGGCACGAAAAACGGAGCACTTGCATTTTTAAAATAAAAACTTACAATTTTAATAACCTTTAAACTTTTATTATTATAATAACGTAAACACAAAAGGAACAAAATGTTTTAAGTAATTTCTAATAAAACTTAAGTGATAATACGAAAAAAAAATGCATACAAAAATAGGAATAAAGAATATTCTTATCACTTTTAAAAGTGCAATGGTAGCTGTTTGTATTATATTGTTATTGTTTTGTTCTTGTTAATGTGAGTAAACTGTCAAGTCGAATCAAGTGTCAAACACAGTTTGAAGTTGAATTGCGTTGATTTAATCTCAAGAATTATGGTTGTAAATCCCGAAACAGCGACTGTTACTGTGGCGTTGCTTCAAGACGGAAGAAGTGAGCGATATACTGCTCAAAAGTATCAAATATGGTACTATAGAGAGATTAAAAGCCGTATAGAAATAGCAAGGGCAAAATTTGTAAAAATGAAACATCTATTGTGTAGTAGAGACCTAAGAATGGATCTAAGGATAAGGTTATTGCGCTGCTACATTTTTACAACTTTGCTCTACGGATCTGAGGCATGGACATTGAAACAACTGGAGATTAAGAAATTGGAAGCTTTTGAGCGTTGGTGTTATCGAAGGATGCTACGAATAGCATGGGTAGACAAAATTACCAATATTGAAGTCCTTGATAGGGTTAATAAGAGGGAAGAAATTGTACAGACAGTTAAGAGGCGGAAACTTGAATATTTCGGTCATATATTAAGAGGTCCTCGTTATGGGCTACTACGTTTGATTATAGAGGGCAAAATAAAAGGTAAAAGAGATGTAGGAAAGATGTCGTAGCTCCTGGCTACGAAATCTAAGGGAATGGTTTAGTCTGAGCTCTAGCCAACTATTTAGAGCTGCTGTAAGTAAAATAAGAATTGCCATGTTGATATCCAACCTTCGTTAGAAGATGGAACCTTAAGAAGAAGATGGTACTATGCACCGTATTTTTACACGTTTATTGGTAACCGGAGCTTACATTCGACGACCTAGAACGACGTCCCCAACGAAGAACTAGTGCCCGTGATAATCACTTGATCCTCGATCGAGTTTACGAGATCGTCGTGCCACGGCTGTATAAATCCATTATCAACTTCCGTGAGTCCGGAATACTAACGTAAGTGAATGAATAATTGGACGAAGGCTTGGAGAAGCAAATTTAAGCAGTCGCAGACCTACAACTTCTCAGGCGCCATCGAGTTGCGCTGCTTTAGTTTGCCAGAAACCATGCTCATTTTACTGTAAACAATTGGAGGCCCGTTTTATTTGCCGATGAGTCCAGGTTTACCTTGCAGTCTCCAGATGGCTGTGACAATGGATTGGCAAGGACCAAGTGAGCGTTTTGCAGAATGCACCTTCAGTTCTAGGGTAGGCTATCAAGGGGGCTCAATTATGGCGTGGGCTGGAATTTCTCTAGAGGCAAGTACAGAATTGTACATCGTTCCGAGAGGCTGCCAGGTACATGATGAAATTCTCCAAGATTTAATTACTATTTATAACTGGGAATAAGCCACATTAAAGATAAAATACATTTATTGACGTTTCAATTTCCAATTCGGAAATCGTCTCAAATACAAATAGTAAATTGTAATAAATCTCCAGATTTTGTTGTCTCTTATGCCGGTTTTGTTGGAAATATCTTTGTTATGATGCATGATAATGCCAAGCCTGTGCGAGAATCACTCCTCAACAGTATTTTAATGAAGTAAATATTCCTTTAATAGATTGGCCAACACTGAGTCCAGATGCAAAGCCAATCGAACATGTTTGGGACATGGTTGGGCGAAGGATACAAAGTCATGTTCCTGTCCCTTTAACATTAAATCAGTTACAAGTCCTTTTATAAGAATGGGAACTTATTCCTCAACAGGACATTTCTCATTTGAATTTAGACATGGCAAGACGAATTCAGACAATAATTCGAGCACGTGGAGAAAACATTCATTATTAAAATCAATTTGTCCATACACATGATTTAAGTTTTCATTAACTGAGCGTTATTTTGTTACAACATTTACTTACGTTTTTTTCCTTAATTTTTAAATTGTTATCTACTGAAACAGTTCTTTGTTCAAAAGTTAAATTTTTATTAAAAGTTACTCACGAAACAGTGTGTTTTGTTTGTGTTTAAGTTATTATAATAATAAAAGTTTAAAGATAATTAAAATCTAAGTTTTGATTAAAGTTTTTTTTTTCAGGTGCGTATGGAATCTCAAAAGTATGCAAACATTCAGTTAGGAATTGCGTTTAAAAAAAAGAGGCCAAGATATTCGCATTCAAGAGACTAAAATGGTACGATCAGTTTTGACAGATTAGATACTTCAAGTAACACCAATGATTGTTTTAAACCTTACACCTTCCAGATCATTATGAAGGCCACCCAAAAGGCAGACGTCAATAATACTAAGAACATAAAAATAAAGATCTTTTTATGGACAAATAGTAAAAATTATTTGAGAGGAACTTTTACTTCTACTATTTTGTTCTACTACTCTATATCGCGAAATGAATAAACTTTTAATTATATCTAAAATCAATAAAAGCAAACTATTTAAACTCCCCCAAATAGAATATAAATATGTGAGTATAAACAAAATAATTTTAAAATACATAAAACGTAGGTTGAATTATTCAATTTTTGAATAAATTAAAATTAACAACAAATAAATTAAATACAGAATACACTCACATGCAGGTCAAATGAATAGTTCAACCAGAGTAAACCCCGAACCATGTAATTCGCTCCTATTACCATTTGGTAACTGCAACTGTGATTATCTTTAATATCCTTTACTGTTCAAAACGTCGATGGTAACAAGAGGGGTTTCTGCAAATTAAATAATATTTGTATAAATTAGAAGAGTTTGTACAAGTATCAATTTACAATAACACTGCAAAACCGCTTTATCAAATTATATAGATATTTACACATTTTTAAACATACTTTCTAAATCTATATACACTTCTTTGTCATCAAATAAAGATGGAATATATTGCTCATGTCAAGAGGAAAGGTCCAAGATGTAGAATGCTTCAATTTTTTCTATAAGGATCTATAAGGATATATACACGAATCTCTTAGTATTAAATATGTTTAAATTGAGTAGTCCACTTGCAAACCACGCTATGTTAAAAATACATATTATCGGTTAATGGCGCCGATGTGTAGACATTATTGAAATGAACGTGTCATTATTATTATACTCCATCAAAATTGGTTATATTCTGAATAAGACGAGGTAGAAAACATACTACTCTTGCAAAATTCGCTATCTTATTTAGAAATCCACTTTCAAAAATTGCTATTTGACTGTTAACTTGCAAACAGCGCTCTATGACATGATGTCACTTCAGCAAACGTAGGTATCTTTCAGTCTGAATAGTTTACTCCGTATGTGCGCACGTGTTGTGTTGTTTTGTTTATTTACTGTTTTCTGAGAAAATAATATAACGGATTGTCAAGAAAAAGAAATAACTTTAACACCAGACAGGAAAGGGCGTAAAAGGATCATACATAAGTCTACATGGAAAAGAGAACGTGAAAAATTGAAACGGTGAGCATTACTACTATATAGATTTTTACGTTATTTATTAATTTTAACAACTTAAACACATGTAGAATATACCGTTTTTTACAGGCATATGCCCAAGAGGCCACCAGTAATGCCACAACGTGCACACGGAAATTTAAAGCAAGGGTATGAGTGTACGGAACTCTCTTCAATACTACAGTCAATTTCATCGACATTTTTATCCGTCCGAAAAAAAAATTGCTCAAGATACATTTTTGCTCAAATATTGTAGTTCCAAAAAGAGCAGGTAAGCAGAAAAAGACGCAGACCATTTCTTATTTTATAGCACAACATGAACTTACATCTACTGGAAGTCGCCGCGTCAAATTGAAGAACGTACGCCAAAAAGCAATGATTACAATTTTGGGGATATCTAAAGATATACATAAAAGCCTAAAAAAAAAACAGTTTAACAAGTTAGACGGTCTAATCAGTATTCTAGGCGTACTGAATCAGTAAAAACTTACATAAAAAGTCTAAAATCATTGAAATCACATTATGTAAGAGGTAAATATTCTGTGCAATATTTTAGAAGTGATGTCAGTATAAGAAAATTACACAATCATTATAGTAATGATGGGAGTAATCTACCAGTGCGATACGAATTTTTCGCCGTATATTTAATAAGTTCTTCAACTTAAGTTTCTAAACACCAGCAACAGATGCTTCTTCGAAGTGTATTCAACTAAAAGAGGCTATATTAAAATTGAAAAAGATTTGTCTAAAAAACAGACGTTGATTACTTAATATCGTGTACATACTTTAAAGGCAAAATCCTTTTATACAAGTTTGAAAACACAAGCTGACGATGATTTGATTTTGTCCTTTGACTGCCAAAAAATGTTGGTTTTACCGAAAGTGCCTGATCAGAGTACTTACTTTAGTAGGCAACTGTATCCTTACAATCTAACAATGTGTCAAGGAAAATCTTCTGGACCTCAGAATATCTCAAATACCTTCATTTGTACATGGTTGGAATCCGAGGCTATGAAAGGGTCTAATCAGATAGCCTCAGCATTATTTCATCGATTACAAAAACCAATTTTGAAGCTATTTCTCATGTCAGGTTATTTTGTGATGGCTATGGAGGCCAGAACAAAAATACGATAGTTGTGGGAATGTTGGCCTATTGGCTTAAATCAGAAGCACCACGACACATAAAAAGTTACAGTGACGTACCGGACATTCTTTTTTAGCCCCTGACCGAGTTTTTGGAAAAATAGAAAGAGAAATATGACCTATTGAAGTAATTGTCGAAGATGACACATACTTCGATATTTTTAAGAAATATGGTACGGTTTTAGAGCTCGGTGCCGATTTTAATTTCTCTGATTTGAAAACTACCGTTAAATATGTAGTGAAGGTCCTGGTTCATGGCATTTTCAATTCAAGGCCTGTAAGAGATTCTTTTTAAGAAAGGATAAAAATAACAAAATTGCAATTAAAGGAGAGCCACACTATGTATCTGAGCTACGGAAATGTTTGTAAAAGAGGCAAATCCTTCGAAAATATGGAACCTACCATCATGCAAAATTACAAGACGTAAAGGCCTTCTCATTAAGCACTTTGGTGAAGATTGGATTACTTTTGATAGCCTCAAATATTACCGTTTCCTTCAAGGGGACCAAAGTGACAGTGCTCCTCAAGAAACTGACAATGAAGATACTGTAATGCAAGACGATGTAGATTTACGAGTTTAATGTTAAGATTAAAATCATTTCATATTCTCTTTGTGTACAATAGCACATGACATTTTTATTATATTTATTAGCAATTAGTTGTTTCATAACTGTCTTTGATTAAATGCTCCTGCAAAACTACTTAAGTTAAAATTACTCATGCAAAACGGTTTTATGTTCAATTTTGAAATTTAAATAAAAAACTATTATTGACACGTATTTTTTTATCTGACTCGTACCGATTCTATATTAATCTCTTCAAAATTAGCACAAAGCAAAATATTTATTTTCTATTTGGATTTACTCAAATTGTTCATATATATACCGGTGTTTGCAAGTGGACTACTCAATTATACGACTTAGCTGCCCCAAATTTTTGATTATTTTTACAAATCGGAGCAATGCATAAATGATATAACAAAACTAGATTGTATACTGGATAAGAAAGAAGTAAAGTACTAGACTAACTAAAAACATATACGTGGAATACAAAATCATGGACAGAGATAAACAATATTAGTCAGCTTTATCACAAAAACAGGGACGGAATATCAACATTACGACAATGATGACGAGACAACTGTACAGCATGAGCAAAAAAGAAAAAAGTAGGAGTAAATAAACAGAATAAGACCTTCAAGTCCAGGTACATTTAGACAAATTACAATAAATAATAATAATAAGTTATTAAAAACATTCAAAAACAGCTATGTTGTTGTTCATTTTGTAATAACTTTTTTGTTTATCATCTGATTTTTTGTGTATCATTTTTTCCAAAATTTTGTCTGTTCAGGTCAAATTTCTAAATAGACAAGTTTTTAAGTTATGAGCAAAATACTGAGTTTGATGTTTTGATTGTTTATTTAAAAATATTTCCACTAAAAAAATGATGAATCCCTAGAACAGAGTCTTTTTGTAATATCTCATACTGCACATTTTGGCCCCATATTATGACAGTTGATGGAAAATATGCTAATATGGTATTCATTGATCTCGAGAAAGAATAGAAAGAGTTCCGCGAGAAATTCTGTGTTGGGCACTCAATAAGAAAGGAGTCCCTCGGTGAATATGTAATGATTGTGTATATACATATTTATGAATACATATTGTGTATACGTGATATGTAGATACTCAAAATTTGCTTTTGACATAAACATTATTTTATAAAATTTATATACATTATGTACAAATACACGTGTATTTTGTATTGCTAATATGTGTATTATATTTTGCAGTGTTAATGTTGGTTAGACTATCTTGTATTTTAAACCTTGGAAGCATAGATGTAAAACGAACAAAACCATAAAATTAAAGCTAATATTTATACTGGACAGACATTATACACAGTTAGTACATTATAAATTTATTAAGTAAAGATTTAATTCTCCAGTGGATGTTCCTTGTACCTCCTAATACCTAAAAATAAGAGCAAAATTGAAAAAATGCTATGTTAGGCACAGAGGTTCTACAAAGGTTTCTTAACAAAATTGTAAAACCAAATCACATGCTACATACAGTAGATTTTTAAGCAAACGGTTTTCATATTCAGTTCATCAATTGAAGTAACAAAATGCACCTAAATAATTTAAGTAAAATGAATGCAAAATAACTGTTTAAAAGACTTATTGACTGAAAACACTGTTAATCTTCATACAGTTGAAACTATTTTCTTTTAATATTTCTGTCATCTACTATATTTAACAAGTATTAGCCATAATTTTAACTGATAATACGTTAACCCACTTCGGAAATCGCTCTCAAAATACAAATTGAACAAATGATTTTGTTTTGTTACTTGATAATACAAAAAATTCTAATAATTTAATTTTATCTGCTTCATTCATAATGACACTTTAGAAATATATTATACATTTTAAAACAGAGAACTTTAAACTGTAAATCATTTTCTTCTGACACATCAAGTCCACGTTAACTTCACTTAATCAAAATGAACTATCCTCCAATTAAGTCGTCCCATGAATGCACCTCAAAAATTCAATACCATTCTTTAAGTCCTCTATATTAAAAGGAAAACATAAGTCATTAGATTTTTTTTTGTATTACCAAGTAACAAAGAAAAACTTTTAATATTAGTTTACAAAAGTTAATTTGAAAGCGATTTTCAATTAAAATCGTGGGTAATTCTCATTAAATAGAGTAGATAACCATTTATCTTCGTCTGCACTGATATGTGACGAAGACAACTACTGATGCTAAATTGTTTTATTTTTAATGAAAACAACTTCTTTAAAGTTATCCTAAGATTGTGATTTAGAAATGAGAAAAGTTTTTTCTTAACTGCATGTTCAAAATTCTTGGCAATATACTAATAGAAGAAGAGTGAGATAAACTAGAGACGGTAACAATTACATGCCCATTAAGTAACAACAATTGAAAGATCTTTATGCAATAAAAACAAACGTAAACAGAAATCTATTAAGAAGGAATAAACATGCTATTAATGCAAATTTATGAAAACTGAATTAAACTCCCCTAGAACAGTTAAAATAACATCTATCGAATATAGGATCGTTTATACGGTCCATTACGAACAATATAATCAATAAAACATTCCT